GGTAAGTAATCATTCTTCAAAAATTAAAAGTATAATAAAAAGAAATTATTTAATAAAAATTGTAATTATGTTCATTTCACCAAAATAGGGCATCACATTTGATGAATTCAGATCATTTTTCCAATTTCTGAACAACCTAGAAGACTTTGCAATAGCCCTAAATATGTATAACTTCGCAAGTCGTTCTATTGGTCAAGGTAAGTAATCATTCTTCAAAAATTAAAAGTATAATTCTACATTGTTTCTAGAAACATTGGAAGCAAGTTAATTAGATATATTATGTCATCCATCAACTGCCCTGAATGTCTTATTTATACTTTTTATGAGACAGAGGCTCAGACACATAAAAGAAACTTAGCAAATTCAGGAAAATGTGCTATATTTTTAAAATTTATTTTCATCCTTAATTTCATATTATGAAGAGAAACCAGTTATGTTTGTTAAAAAACGAAATCAGCTCAGTAAAGAGAAAACCTGATGGCTGTTGGTTAACACTGAGAGGTACATGTCTACCTAGAGAACCCTCATCAGCATGGCCCAGATATTCTCACAAAAAGCTATTTATTTTACCTGCTAGTTGAAAAACTAAAATTAATTCAGCAGAGCCACCTCCTAGCCATGAACTTACTTATGTTAACTGACTTTGGGGAATGATGTATAAAATTGAATAATGATTTGGCATAATTTACAAAAATACAAAGTTGTCACAGAATTCAGAACGCCTTTGTCCTCAGATCCCACTGACTCACTTTTTCTCTGCAGGTGGCTGACATGCCAAGGCCTTTTTCTACTACTTTGTGCCTACCATCACCATCTCTCCCCCACCTGGCCATGTAGCTTTTTAAAACTTCATGTTGTAGAAAGGCTTTATTTCTGTCTTTTAAAGTGATGTTAGCTGTCCCTGCTATCACGAATGTGTTAATTCTTAAGTTTAAATCTCAGTGGACAGTCTTAGGTTTTAGGGGACTTGGATTAAACCCCTCGCACAAAACAATCAAAACCCCCAACTTCTGTAGATAATAAATCCATTATCCAGTTTCATTTATTTAATTCATTGAGTAAAAGAAATCAGAAAATTTATATTTATCCTTTCTATAGCCCAGACGTCCAAACATGCTGTCTTCTCAAACCACTTTAGTGTTTTCATGCCAAAACTTTTAGAAACAAGCCTTCAAAGAACAGCCTTTACTACTATAATAAGCTTTTTTAAAAACTCAGTATCAGTTTACTTGGTTCAGAATAGAAAATTGCTCCTTTACTTTGTGGAAATCAGAACTAGAAAAAATAGGCTTGCTTTTGCAAGTGCCGTACTAGGAGTAGATCCGTCTCTTTTTTTTTTTTTTCTTTTGCCAGTTCTAGCATCTTAATTTGGATTATTACTTCTTTTTTTTTATAATTATTTATTTTTATTTATTACATTTATTTATTGTGTGTGTATGTGTGGCCAGCTCAGCCCACCAGGGGGCAGGGCTGGCTGGCATGTGGTGCTGGGGGATCGATCTGCGGTCCCTGTGCTTTGCCAAGCTTGTTTCAAGTAGGTGCTTTAGACCACTGAGCCATCTCTCCAGCCCCTGGATTATTACTTCTTTAAAGCACTGTTGCATTAGCCACCAAAGTGCCATTCCAGCAACTAGCTACTTTCTAATGTTTATAAACAACTAACAGATGAATCTTTCTAAAACACAAGTTAACATATCTATGACATACCTGCTATGGAAACTCTTAAGTGTTCTAAATACCTACTGCCTGAAAGGTGGCATCTCAGTGCAGAGCTCCGCCCAATCCTACATGTCCCCTGTTCCAGACCAGACTGTTTTCTTTTGAACATGCTTTACACTCTTTCGTCTACTCATGTCCTCTCATCTGCCATTGCCCTCATCAATACAAGTTGAGATCATCCCTCCTTCAAGGCTTAGCTCAAACACAAAAGTTACAGCTTTTCCAAATTACTTTCATTCTTGCTCTTCTCTCTACAATACAAACACAAGTAACCGCTCATCCTCAAATACTCAGCACTTTGTTGATACTTTTTTGGGTGGCCCTGATTAGTGGTTATTTGGGCAAGCATCTCATATTCCAACTGACTTTTTCTTGAAAATTTATTTATGGAAATAACTTCCCTGTCACTGAGAATAGATGTTTATTAAACATTCATTGATTATGAATGCATTAGTAAGCAAAACACAGCTCCATTTTTTGCTCTTTTTGTTAAATACACAAAACATCATATGCCCTAACAAGCAGCATGATTAATAAAAAGTCATGTTTCTATGTAAGATCATGGTTCTATGTGAGATCATGACCCATGTTTCAAAAGCAACATCTTTAACATTTTTTCTAATAATTAACATGTACTAAAAAATACACAGATAATGGCCTGTTTTTCTATTTATGTGACATTTATCTAGATGAATTTAAACGTGCTGTCTACGTAGCTACTGGACTGAAACTTTCACCACATTTAGTGAACACTGTATTCAAGATTTTTGATGTTGACAAAGATGACCAATTAAGTTATAAAGAATTTATTGGAATTATGAAGGACAGACTCCATAGAGGATTCCGGGTAACCTTACGCATTTCCAGTCTATTAGTATCCTTTTTAAAATCTGAGTATAAAAAAATGCATTCAGAAACAGTTTATAGTTTTTTTAAGAATATAAACATGAAATGCTTTATTAGGAAAGAAAAGTCATAGACCCTTTCTACTTTCAAAAATAATGAGGTTATAAAAAATGTTTTTTAAAACATTATTTTGACTTCTAATAATTTATTTTCATATTAAATTAATTTTTTAGCCCAGTTTCCAGATATTTTTGAAAAATCCAGTTTCTGTATTGGTTTTTCAGATTTGTTAATATACAAAGAAATAATACTGTTTCTCATTTTCTATGAAAAACATTCCCTCTGGCAACTTGCAGCTCCTTTAGTTATTATGTACTCACTATCATTTATATGGAAAACAAATTTTAAAAGATTTTTGTTAAACTAGTTTTTTCTGTGACATCCTAAAAGTAACTACTAGAAATTCAATATTTTTGTAAGAAGCATGCTATAAAACTTGAAATATAGCATGATTCAACAAATGTTTAAATATCTAACATTGGTAGATGTAACATATTGGTGGATGTGCCACAAATAGAAGAAAATCTGTTAAAATTAACAGCTAGCATATCCAGTCTTCCCTCTTTGGCAAGGACATTTCTAAGTATTATGCATTTTAAAACAGAAAAATCTACACCTAGAAGAAAACATTCATTTTAGTGTGTTTTTAAACCTAGTGACTAAATCCAAGCTGTCCTGGTAAAGATGCTGTGTACTTAACTGCCATCTAGTGGCTCTTTGTCTCAGCTATCAGGTAGTGCCACAAATATTGAAAAGGACAAATAATAAAAATAAATATAAATTATGCTAAATTGTAAGCCTTTAATACTGTATTTCTTTCTTAGGTGCTTTATGTTTTTATTTTTAAGTATCTATTGCATACCTCTGAACCTCTATAGCATTGTATGTACATTTGCACACTTAATAGACAAATACAAATTGTATATATTTGTGGTATTAGGTAATGTTTTGATGTATACACACATTGTGGAATGATTGTATCAAGCTAATTAATATGTTTATCACCTCACATAATATATGAAGAGTATACTTACAAAAAATAACAAGAATTTTTTAATCTTTTTTAAAGCAATTTTAAAATACACAGTACATAATTATTAACGATAGTTACCTTTCCATGCAATTGACCTTAAAAACTTATTTGTCCTATTTAATGGGCATTTTCTAATCCTTGGTCAACTTCCTCTCACTCCCCTCAACTCTCCAGGCCTTTGATAACAGCCATTCTAATCAACTTAAGTTTGACCTTTTTAGATTCCATCTTTAAATGAAATTATGCTTTATTTGTCTTTCTATATGTCTGAACATTTTTAATTCTCTGTTCTACAGGGTTATAAGACTGTCCAGAAGTATCCTACTTTCAAATCCTGTCTGAAAAAAGAACTTCATAGCAGATAAGTATGTTAACTTCTCTTTCTCTAAATTTGTTGAGTAACAGCAAAAGAAGAGTTGTAATTTATTTTTCTCTTACAGTGTTTCAAAAGCAGCCAAAAGAGGCCAGGAGTATAGCTAAGTGGTAGAGCACATGCCCAGTGTGTGCAAAGTCCTCGGCTCAATCCCTCGTGCCACAAAAAAAGAAAAAATATCTGAAAGAAATAGAATAATTTAATTTTAAGTCTTTAAAGTATCTTAATCTTAAAATTTTTAAGTTAAACTTTCACTTTTGTACCTGAGCAGATAATGAGTACAACTTCAAATTGTACCTCTAGTGGAAGATCACTGGCACCTGAGGAGTGTGTGTTACCGTGTTTGGAGATCATGATTCCGAACTTCTGCTGGTTTTTTTTTTAATAATTATTTTAGATGACAGTATACTAAGTGTTTTTACATGTAGTATCTCATTTAATTCTTGGAGATAGCTATCCCATTCATCAACAGTGAAAATATGGGTAAGCAAGTAACACCTAAAATAACTAGTTAGTAACTGACAATTCAGGATTTAAGCTTTATTTTTCTAATGGCAAACAAGTTTACTTATTATTTACTAAACTATTCTCAGAGATTGGAATAATGAGAAATTTTTAGGAGATCTGTTCTGCTTGAACTGACCCAAAGAAATATGTAAAACTTCAAAACACAGAGTATTTTTTTTTCCTTAAGTCAGCTGTAAACTACAAAACTGACTAGTTGTAGGTTTTGCTTAGTTAGGTTTCACAGCACTTTGCTTTCTTTCTATATGAAGGCATCTGTACATTGCCTGCTGTTTTCCTCAAGCCTGAAGCACTGAACAATAGCAGTGTGTTAGGTGGTTCATCAGGATATGAAATTAAAAATTAAAAATCAGCTGGGCATTGTGGCGCACGCCTGCTATCCTAGCACTCAGGAGCCAGCGACAGGCGAGTGCTACACGTTTGAGGCTACCCGAGACCACATAATGAGTTCAAGGCCAGTCTAAACTAGAAAGCAAGGCTTCATCTCAAATAAATAAATAAAAAGAAATAAAGAAAATGTTAAAATAGAGCTATTTAGTCCAATTTGAAAAATACAATAAAATGGTTTAGTAGCTTCCTTCTCCACACAATTTATCATGCCTTAATAGAGTGCTGTTCATGTTATCTTCTTGAAAGAAAACTGCACCAATCAACATTTTGCAGAGTGGCTCAAATCTAATGTTTTAGAGAATCCATTTGGAGGAATACTATTATAAAATGTTAGAGCAACAAGTAGCCTTGTTTATTTATCTAAGACCATAACTGTTATATTTAAGCTAACAAAAGAATAAAGGTCTTCCTGATATTTTTTAAAGTACCTTTATAGGCCCTATGAGAACCTAAACAAAATATTTTAAAAATAGGGCTATTCTATTTGTATATCAGTAATGTTACCAGTGTGTAGCGGTGTCACTGACCACACTGGCACTACTGGTTCTGCATATTAGTGGATATGACAATAGGTGGAAACAATCTTTTTCTAGACCTAAGACTGAAAATTAGAAAAGTTTGTAATGAAACACTATACTTTCAAAATCAAGGAAAGATTGTGTAGTTACCTCAAGTCTTTTTTATTATATTGCATATAAGGGTATTTTTACTAATTTTCATATGAGAATTTTGATTAATGTCATCACCTCTGAGTTACAGCCAACATAATTAATTTTCTATTTTTCTGTATCTTTTAATCAGATACTTCTAAAGCAAACTTTAAGGAACTATTATCTGACAAACACAGAAGCAAAACTTTCTTCGAGTGGAAGCAAGTCTGAGATCAGAACATGTAGAAAATGAAGGAAAAGGTGAAAAGTTATGAAATTTCTGTTTTCTTGAAAGAAATTCTTAAAGAGAGAAAACGCATCTTCTATGTTTTGTATAAACAACTTCAGCTTTTCCCTTCATTTACTGAACGCTGCACTTTTTCATTCCTTTCAGAAGTATGAAGATACTTAGAATAACTATGTAAGAATATATTTAAATATTTCTATTTATTTATCAGAACTTTGCCTCATTTCAAAGTAATTTATGACTGATAGAATGCAGATCACCTAAAAATGAACAAAACATTTTCTTTGGCTTTGAACTGTGAACTTATTTGGAAAATGCATATGGCTTCCTATTTACTTTTATGCCCTTACAATTGTTAGTAAATCCCTATTGTTTGCCAGGTTTTCAAGTATATTGAAATAATTTGAGGAAAATAGGTAGAAATTAAGGTACTAAATAACATGATGATGGTTTACATTGTGCTTTTAACTTTTAAAAGTACTTAAGTAACATTTATTGTGTGACTTGTAAAATTTTTGTTATTGTTGTTATTCATTTACCAAAGCCAATGGAAAGAATGTCTGGTCTCCTTTTAGGTGTAGTATAATAAATTTAAGATGTAGAGCTTTTTTCTCAATTATATTGATAATTAAAAGCAGGTCAGCTGTAATAGTAGACAGTCATTATTGTTTTAAACATGATGCTGCTCCTAATTATAGGTGATATATGTAATGCTAGTAAAAGTAATATTCTACAGCTTTGTAACTTATTCCATATTGTTAATATATGTCTTGATACCAAAATTAATGTTATAAATTAATAATAAAAAATAGTTTAAAAGACTGATGTATGTTTAGGCAGAAGTTAATGTCTTCTTTCTTTCTGAAGGACCACATGCAAAAGATGCCAGTAATAATAACTTAAATATAATTTGTTATTTCCAAAACCATATGTCTTCAAACAGAAAATACTTTCTTTTGAAAAACCATAAAACTAGGTTTTCAAATGGAGAAATAATTTGATATTTAATAGAAATCTGTTTAAAGATATATAAGGATATTAATACAAAATTAGTGCAATAATTTAAGTATTGCATGTGGAATATAGTTCAATTATCTTCTTTCCTAAGGCATACTTAATGATGTTACATACACTCCAATTATTGTATTGCTTTTGCATATAAAAATTCCTAGTAAACACTGAGTTTGTTTTTCTGTTAATAAATGTGAATTTGTATCATCTTATTTATAGAAGTAATGTTATTTCCAAGAAAATGTTATCAGCATTGACTTTGTGTTTGTTAGACTTTTTACATTCTTTGCCTGAATTATTTATTACACCAACATAGAAATACAGATTAGTAAGTTAAGGAATCACACACAGAATAATAACTGAAGTTCGTCTTCTGTGAAGAGTCAGTCAACCAGGTGACGGACTAGAGATGCTTATTCATTTATCATATCCAGATCTATTGTACTTTACATTGAGTGCTGTCCATAATTGAAAAAATGTGGTGGTCTTGGACTATGTGTCAAATTATCTTGAATTCATGAATTATCTTGAATTAGCTCATAAAATTATCTTGAATTCATGAATTACATTGAATTAGCTCATGAAAATCCTTTAGAATTCCATCTCCCAAGGAAGAATATTATCCTATATATATATAAAATCACTTTTTTGTTACTTATCAATGTGAGTGGATCTGTACATATGTCTGCAACATAATATAAAAATAGGAATAAAGTATTTTGATAGTAAAGTGGAAAGAGAATAGTCAATTATAGTGACTCCTTTTATAATACCACTATTGCAATTTATCACTTATAAAGTGGGGGCAAAATATCTCACTGGATTATTGTTTACATCAATTTAAATATTTTTAAATTCTTTGAAAATAATATATTAAATACATGTCTGCTGTTATTTTTGGCATTTCCTTTTACAGACTATTCTTCCAAAGATGAAGTTATACATAAAACTCTAGTGTTACAGTTTTTAGAGAAACCTTGTGTGATAAATGATCTGTGCTACTTCTGTCATTTCCCAATAAAAAAATTATTTAACTGAAATTCCAATTAATTGTTCTTATTATAACTTATAATTGTGAAGCAACCTATCTTACATTTTTATGTTATTTTAAAATAAATATACCTACCCTTGAATCACAAAACACTGTAGTATGCTTTTGTGTATGTCTAGCCTCTTTCTGAAAATGTTACCTCCAAACTTAGTAACTATTTTTTTTTTTTTAAGGAAGGAGAGGTTTATTTAGCTCACAGTTTATGGGGGCTTCAGTCCATACTCTGCTGGCTACAAGGCAGATGAGCAAATGGCAGAAGGCAGCATATCATACTATTTGTTGATTATCAAGCCTCTATTTGATCTTATAACCTCTTCTGTGGGAATATATGCCAGTGATGATATACGCCAATAAAATTGATCTCAGCAATGTCTTTGTAGGTATGTAAATCACAAACCCATAAAGCCTCCTGTAGTATTTAATTCTAGTACAGTGGTCTCACTTACAGTGGACATTATGTTCCAGACACTCCCGTGATAAGTGAAAGTCGGCAAAGTAGCAATATTATATTTATTTTAGTATCTATACATACTTAAAGGCATTATGAATCCTTCCCACACTCTTGTAAACCTTTCCCACATTTTTTTTATTTGTGGTACCGGAGATTGAACTCAGGACCCTGCGCTTGCCAGGCAAGCATTGTTGAGAAGGATTTTTTGGCTGGCTCAGAATGCCTTAAGCACAGGTCTGGTAAAGCATGAGGATTTGAGGATTGAACCACAGTATCCTGAGCCTGACTGCATTTGCATAAGCAGGCACTTAACCAACTGAACTAACCTGCAGGCCCCCCTTTCCCACAATTTTAAAAATACTTCTAATGTTCTTAACCATTTTCTAAACTTGTAAAACTACATGATTTTAACAACATGCTGTATGGTACTACAAAATCCTCAATAGCAAAAAATCCATGATAAATAATTTAAATTAATATTTTTTGATAACCCACAAAATAGCCCATGAAAGTTGAACCAAGAAATAATGAGGGACTAGAGTATTATAAACCTATAGCTATTAGTACTATGAAGCGTTTCAGTTTACATGTAATGTAAAAGATATAAATTTGCTTCACAAAACTATTTAAGGGCCATTGAGACAACTCAATAGACTAAGCTCCTACTTAGGGAAGTGCAGTGAGTGACCAGGGTTCAATCCTGGTACCACATACATGCTGAGCCCGTGACCCAATCTGGGCGTGATGGCACACGCCTGTAATCCCAGCACTGGGAGACTGAAAACAGGAGGACCACTATGAGTCTGAGCTGTATAGTGAGACCCTGAACAAAATACAAAAATAAAACCAAAAATTGGGGGGGAGGGGTTTGTGTGTGTGTGTGTGCATGCACGTGTGGTACCAGGGATTGAACTCAGGACCCTGCACTTGCCAAATGAGCTATCTCCCTGGCCCAAAAATCCTTTATTTAAATGTCTTAAAATAAACCAAAACTATACTAGCCTGATTTACTAATATTGATGTTTGAGATAGTACCTAGAAATTAGCCAGTTTTCAGAATGCATTACTTATTATCCTACCTATAATCATATGGTAAATTAACACTTTTAAAAAGTACAATGCCTTTATTTGCAATTGATGTAAATATAAATTATACTAAGAACAATAAATCTCTAAGTGATAAGAAAGTGCTTTTTTAATTGGCAGCATTTTTACTTTCTTAGTAACTCATAAAATAATGATTTATCACCAGGCTTGATGGTGTTTACCTGTAATCCCAGGAATCAGGAGGCTGAGACAGGAGGGTTGCCATAAGTTTGAGGTGAGCCCCAGCTACATAGTGAGTTCAAAGACAACCTGAACTACATAGTGAGACCTTGTCTCAAAAAAACCATAATAATAATAATAATAATAATAATAATAATAGTTCATCTTGCAATGTCACGTCTTCTGTGAAATACTGGATTTGTTGTTCTCATTGTATCACAATGAGCATTTTTGGCATACATCTTTAAAATTTATCCACATATGTGTTTATAAATAGTCTCAGAGCAAGTTGAAAACATTACTATAAAATTTTTCTAAAAAATCTTGTCGAACATTTTGAAGAAAGTGAGGGACAAGTGCTAGTGAGAAATAGAACAGAAAAACTAAAAGAATAGAGAAGGGATCTGAGTGATGATTTGTAACATTTGTAAAAGTAAGCCTGAGTGAACAGTTTTTGAAAAAACTTTTTATCTTTTGTGGTACTAGAGATTGAACCCAAGCCTCACACATACTAGGCAAACATTCTAGTTCTGAGTTACATCTCCAGTCCTTTCTTTTTATTGAAAAGGCTAGCCTCAAATTCGCAGTCCTCTTGCCTCAGCCTCCAAGTAGCTATAAGTAGGAGCATGTGCTATCACCAATTCCAGGAAAATAAATAAATATAATTGAAATCAAAATGACAATATATACTTTGACATTTCAGAGTACAAAGACAGTTTCATTTTATAGTACAGAGGGAGTGTTGAAGAATAGGTGGAACAGTTGGGTCTCTCAGACATGAGTTAAGTTTGGGCATAATATCTGTGGAAGGTGACCTGGATAGATCTTAAAATTCTGAACTAGAATTTTATTTTGGGGATTATAGTGCCCCAATACATGCATAAGTTTCTGTGTCATCAAGTACTTGTGTTCAGTAAAATAAATAGGAAACCATGAAAACTAGAAGGTCCATCTATGCTTTTCATATGGAATGATCTGTAAGATATTTTTATGGGAGCACAGTAAAGTATAAAAGAGTGGCCAGGAATGTAGCTGAGGGGCACGATGCCTGCCTGGCAAATGCAAGGTCCTGAATTTGCTTCCTGGTACCATAAATAAAAATTAAAAAGTACTCAGCTACTGCTTTGGTTCAAAACATGTTGTTCACGCATTTGAGTTCATCAGACAATGTGGAAGTTTTATATTATTTTAGAAAGTTCTGCTGGTGCTCTCAGTGGCACCACCTCATCTAGAACTGTTGTTCTCTAGGCCCACTGCAGTCCTGCCACTCCAAGACCTCCTGCTTTATTTGCCAGATCTCCTATTTTCAGTTTTTGGAGTGGAGTACAATGCTCCATCTACTCTGAGAATGATTGCATAATGAATTTTTTAGTTGTGTGCCTTCAAAATACCTTTATGCTATCTTCATAATTGGATAACAAAGTGTCCAGGGATAGAAATATAGAATAGCACACCTTTTCCCTAATAATTTTGAAACCTTTATCTTCTAGCTTTCAGTGTTGCTCTCAAGAAACCAGATATCATTCTGATTTTCACCAGTTTTACTTCTCCTTGGAACTTAGTAGAATCTCATTACTTTTTGCCCTACTACTTGAAATAGATGCCCCTTGATAAGTGCTTTTTATCATATTTTTCTGAGGATTCAATAGTCTTTTTAATTAAAAAACTTTAAAACTCATAGCTTTTAGTATTGGAGAAAAAATAATTTTTGAAAGCTTATCTTATTTTCTCAGTTTGTGTAGAATTTCAGTTTTTTATGTCTCGAACTTCCTTTATTCAATCTGTAATTTTTTTCATATATTTTCATTTTTGTCACTATGTTTCATATATTGTATTCTCTCATTTCAATTTATGTAAACTTAATTTTCTATTTCCTTCATTGACTCATTTCTTTTGTGTGTGTCTTTCACGTGTCTATTAGAAGTTTTTCTCAAAAATACGATAATCCATTTTTAGATATTCATATGTGAAAACATACCATAATCTCTGTAGCAAGGGGTGAGTTTTGACTGTTGGCTTCATACTGGTATTCTCCTATTCTCTTAGGAGAAACTTTGATTATTAGTACTGATAGGTCTTTTCTTTTTGAATGGTAAATTTCTCCTGTCAGGTGATTCTAAGATTAGCTCCTAATTTATTCAGAGCTGATTACAGGACAAGGATCTTGAATCTCCTTTTAGTCTGCTGCATTCTTCTCGCTGGGCATGGACTTGCTCTGATTTGACTTCTGAAGAGTTTTCTGCAGGTATGTGAGGGTGGGGGAAGGAGGAAAAGACTTGGAGGAAACTATTACAGTTTAGATCAAGAGTGACCCCAAAAGTGGTTGGGCATTTAAAAGGTAATTGGATTGAGAAGAAGCTATATTTATCAATGGATTAATTCATTAATAAATCACAGTTAAGTGTGCTGGTAGGAGGTGGGGCCTAGTCAAAAGAGTTGGGTCACTGGGCATGTGACATGGAAGGGTTTTCTTGTCCCCAGGTCCTCTGCTGTACTCTGCATCTTGGCTGGCACAGATTAAGCAGCTTTTCTCCACCCTGACCTTCCACCATATCATTTTTGCTTTATAGCCAGCTGATCATGGACTGAACCCTCTGAAATTGTGAGCCAAAATAAATCTCTAACTCCTTTAAGTTACAGTTGTTGAGTATTTTCTCCAAGCATTGTTAACGTGACTAGTAAAGGACCTGAAATCTAAACAACTCCTAAACAGAATTTTAATCAGTCCATCCAATTTATAGTACAACTGAGAAAAGGCATCTAGCTCTTTCACTTTTTAAGCCTCTTAAGAATTCTGTGGTAATCTGCCCCTTTCAGGGTGCCTTCTGCACTTAACTGCTCTTTGGTCTGCAAACTATTTGTTCCTGAGATTTTAAAGATTTTGTTCTTTAGTTTTCTTACACTTGAAAAATAAGCTTACTTTTTCAGAATCCTTTTTCTCTTCTCATATTGATATGATTTCAAAGAAGATTGTCTAAAATAGCATACAAATATTTTAACTCCATATTTAGAATACCTCTGGAAATACCCACCAGGACCAAGAATGGTTATCTTTGAAGATAGGGATAATAGTTACATTTAACAAGTTGTTATTGAACTATTTTGAATGTTTTTAGTTATGAGTATGTTTAGATTTTTCAAGAAAAGCCATTTTTAAAAATTGAATGTCAGTCTAATAAAAGTTGTATGTTACATGAATTCAGCTGCCAAATCCAGATTACTACTTGAAGCAGAAAGATTGTCATAGAAAAAATAAAACTAATGATGAGCATGAATTTGTGCCGTCTTAGAAAAAAATAAAAATAGTGGTGAGCATGAATTTGTGAACTGCCACATAGTTTAAACTTGCATAATAGGGCTGGAAAAGGAATTAATAAATGAAGGAACATGATTGGGAATCAGTTACTGCATTGAAAAATGTTAAAGATGGAAATTATATTCTCAGATAAAATATATTGTAGTCACTTTCACCACACGAGACAATTGAAATTGATTATTAGCCTAATTTAATATGGCATCTCCACTATGCATACATCTAAGCAAGTAGTTTGAAGCAAGCAAGTAGCTTAAGAAATAAGTAGATTAGTCAGCTAGCAGATCTTAAACTGAGGTAAAATGAGAGTTTAGGGCAGAAAGAAAAACAATAAAATATTCAAGCCCATGCTATATAATGCTTTAGCAGGCTCTAGGTGGTATACAAGTTAAAAGTTCAACTTGAAAAACCTACAGAAAAAGGACTCTGAAAATCTATACTTTTGTGTGTCATTGCTCTTCGGTTCTAAGAGGTTCTCAAGAGAGTGAGTATATTATGTACCATTTGTGCTGTAATATTTAATTACAGTGAGTGTACATAAGATTAGCTGTCTCAAAGATTCTTTTGAAATCAGATTGCACATCAAAACTTCATTGTGCCCTGTTAAGTAAGCAAATTTAAGAAAGAGGAGAAGGTGATGTCAAGACTTATTGCAAAATGAACAAATAAAGGAATAGGATTTGCTTGGTGTTCAGCCTATTAAGCCATAGCCAAATGTCAGACTTCATTTGTCAACTTAAATATGTTTTCTCTAAAATTTACAAAGATTCAGTCCATGAAAAGTGTCCTTTAGCTACTATTTAGACTGAAAAATAAACAGGAAAATGCTAAATAGATTTTACTAAAAACTCAGTTTCTCATAGTGATATATTACCACCTAAATATGTATGTTGGTCATGCAAATAAAGGTTTTGGTTGCCTTTTAACTGTGGTGTTTTCTTGATTATAAAATTAATATGTCTCTGTGTCAAGATACATGGAGTTTTAGAAGTTTTGGTTAATTTCTACTCCACAATAGCTAAACCCCCAAATAAAACATACACTCCAACATTTCTAGCCTCCAGGGATTTTCCCCTTTTAAAATTATTTAAAAGGAAAAGGAAATTTTTTAAACTCCAAGATGTGAGCTTCAAGTGGCCAGAAGGAGAAAGTCTTAACACATTCTGAATTAGACTTCCAAGAAATAACCAGGAACCAGACCACATATGTAAGGATTCCCAGTAGAGTGAGAACAGTTAGAAATAGAGAGGGATCCTGAGACTTTTTGGAGGAATTATATTGCCCAGAGGCCAGGGTTTTATGCTGACAGTGTATGTTGATCTTTGAGTCAGCAATGAAGAAGAGGATCTAATTAGCAGACACCCTCCCTCCTCTGTGTTAAAACCGTTAATGGGGGTCTTACACACACACACACACACACACACACACACACACACACACAGAGTGAAGGAGAGGCAACCATCCTGTAAGACTCTAATAGGTATTAATCGAGCATAGCCTGTTAAAGAAAGACGATCAGATCTAGAAAGGGCCATCCATTACAATCACAATCAGGGCTGGTGAGATGGCTCAGTGGTCTAAAGCACCTACTTAGAACAAGCTTAGCAGAGCGCAGGGACCGCAGTTCAATCCCCCTGCACCATATGCCAGCCAGCCCCGCCCCCTGGTGGGCTGAGCTGGCCACACACACACATAAATAAAATATTTAGAAAAATAAAAAAGAATCAGAATCAACAGCACAACAAATTTTAACCTTAAGAATTCAGGGCAAAGGAGCCGCCAACGGCCTGTAGAGCAACATGCCTAAGTTTTATTGTGACTACTGCGATACGTACCTCACCCATGACTCTCCGTCTGTGAGAAAGACACACTGCAGTGGTAGGAAACATAAAGAGAATGTGAAAGACTACTACCAGAAATGGATGGAAGAGCAAGCTCAGAGCCTGATTGACAAAACAACGGCTGCATTTCAACAAGAAAAGATACCTCCTACTCCATTCTCCGCTCCTCCCCCCGCCGGGGCTATGATCCCACCTCCACCCAGCCTTCCTGGTCCTCCTCGCCCTGGTATGATGCCAGCACCTCACATGGGAGGCCCTCCCATGATGCCAATGATGGGCCCCCCACCTCCGGGGATGATGCCAGTGGGACCTGCTCCTGGAATGAGACCACCCATGGGAGGCCACATGCCA